CCCTTTTTTACCCCCACCCCACTCCCAAACTGCTAGGGTCTTTCCTATTCTGGTTTCTTTGTGTTTAAGATCATCAGTATAAAGTTGGAAGGGGCCTCAGAGGCCATCTGGTTCAACATTAATATCTTAAAAATGGGGAAGCAAAAGGTTCCTTACCCTGGAACATCCATCTTGCATACCACTCCCCTTCTCCCATCGGTGAATTCTGCCATTCTGGAGAAGGGCCCAGCCTGGCCAACCATTATTCCCCTTCTGGTTGTGCTTTGGACTCTCTGGACATCTACACCATTACCTATGTCCTCCCCCATCCACAATGATTTTCTTTTCCTTTCTTTTTGTGAGTTTTCTTCTCTATTAGACTATAAGCTTTTGCTCATATTTGTATCCCCAGTGCTTGGCTTAATGCCTGGTACATAATAAGTGCTTAATAAATGCTTATTATGTGCCTACTTGTATAGGGGGATCAAGTGATTCTACCAAAGTCAAACAAAATCAGGATTTGAACCTAGGTCCTCTGGTTCCATAATCCGTGCTCTGTACTATGGCTACCTCCTTTTACTTGGCATATATTTAGTATTTACTCATGTGTGCATTTGTTATCTCCTCCAGAAGTGCACAGGTTCTTTGAGGGTAGAACTATTTTTGTTTTCCCTTTTTTATCCCTAGCACCTAGCACAGTACTGGATTGTTGCATGAATAAATGAATGAGTAATGGCCATTGGCTCTGGTCCACTTTGGAGTCCAAAGACTTAGGTCTTGTCTGGGTCCTACCTGTGTCACCTTCTACCTGTTTTTACCCTTGGGCAAACTCCTTCATCTCATTGAGCTTTTCCTTTAAGTCCCTAGTAAAATCCTGCCTTCTACTGGAAGCTTTCTCTAACCCCACTCAATTCCAGTGCTTTTCCTCTTTTAATTATTTCCTATTTATCCTGTGTATAGCTTTGTATATATTTGTTTGTATATTGTCTCTCTCATTCAGTTGTAAGCTCCTTGAGGACAGGAATTGTCTTTTGCTTCTTTTTATCCAAAGCACTTAGGATAGCGCTTAATACATGCTTATTGATTGATTGATGGTTCTCTAAAATGGTGATAACAAAGGGGGATTGATCAATTCACTGGTCATTTGCCATTTTCTCCAGTACTTTTTCTCTGGAGAATTATGCCTTGTCTAGATGGGGCGTCTCTGTTTTCTTTCCTGCTGCTTCAAGGTCACTGGAAGTGCATACACGTGGAGTTTTACTCACCTTTAATTCCCACTATCTCAAAGGGTCTTTCAGAGATTGTATATTTCAGGTAAGTTGCCATTGTGTTGGTAGAGGGAATTTGAGCACTAGGAATTCTATTGGCTGATGAAATCACAGGTCTGACCAATAAAAATAAATTTTTGTATCAAAGGCTTTGCCTGTGGAGCACAAGTTTCAACAGGTCTTGCTGAGCTGGGAAATTTTCGAGTGCAGGCCTGGCAACAGACTATACATCTGTTGTCCAAGGACCAGTCTTGTTAAGTTTGAAGCAGCTTGCTGCCAGGGTGGTTGCAGAATGTTGGATTTTTCCCCCTACAGCAATTCGGGCAGCCTTCCTGCTAAAGCATGGAGTGGACATGTGGTCTGTATCAGTAGGGGGAGCCCCTATCCTGACAGAATCATGAAGCCCTGGAATAAGAAAGGTTTATTCCCATGAAATGCTTGCCTGGCCTAGCCATTTACTGGCTCCTCCTCCATATTGGCAAACAGCTGCTGATGTCACCGTGTTCCTGCTGTGACGTCAGCAGCATCACCTAGACACTGAGACTAAAGCAGAAAACAAGGGTCAATAGAAAGAAGAGCATGGCTTATGTACCAATAATGTGGTAGGTGCCAAACCAGAATGAACAAAGGGGACTCCACATTGGGACCTTTGTCCTTTGAGTGTTCAGAGCTTTGAGAAGCTTTGGGCAGAATGGTTCCACTGGTCATGCGATATATGGTTATTAAATGAGCTTGGCCAAGAACAGTGAGTCAGCCTGGGGAGACGTGAACAAATGGGGAGGTCACCAGCTGGCTTATCAAATGGTCACGATGTTTTTACAAGCAGACCAGGCAGGGCCTTTGGAAGGAGAGTGGTTCATGGATACCAGGGAATGAGAGGCTATTTGGAGGCATATCAAAGGACCTGAAAGAATAGGAAGTTGGGGAGGGGGTGGAATTTGCCTTCCCAGTGGGCCAGGAAGCTGTCCTTCAACCATCCCTAGGGGAGAAGCAACTTTAGTCACTTTGTATGGGCAAGAGGCTGAGGTCTCCCAAAGTGGTTGGATCTGGGTCCAGCTTACGCAGAGCCAGGGGACTAGCCCTCACTCTGGCTTAGTGATGCTTTCTCCCTGAGGCAGAATGGACCGAGTTAGCCAGGAATCAATCGACTTTTTAGTGAAGCACCTGCTTTCTTCCAGGCACTGTGCTACCAGGGCTGGGGATATACAGATACAGGGTGAAACAGTCCCTTCTCGGGAGGAGGTTACATTCTAATGAGGGAATCAGAGATGGAAGGCAGGCCCCCTGGTCCACCACTGGGCAGCCATAGATGTAGTTCTGCTGCCCTTTCTATGTGACTATTTCTAGGTTCAGGAAGTGAAAGAACTAGTCTCAGTGTTCATTTCTGATTTCCCTGGAATCCATATCTGCTCTCCCTCAGTTATTTAGAGAACAGTTACCTAGAGAGAATAGAAGATAAGGGGACGAAGCTTAGATCACCATACGAGGATCAGGTCTCTGTGACATTGTTTCTTTGCCTTCCTGGTATTCACCCATTGCCTGGAAAGGTAATGTCATTGTATTTTTTTTTCCTTTAAGGCAGTTGGGGTTAACTGACTTGCCCAGGGTCACACAGCTATTAAGTGCCAAGTGTTTGATCTGAGGCCGGATTTGAATTCAGGGCCGGTGCTCTATCCACTGCACCACCCAGCTGCCCCATGTCATTGCTTTTAATGGAGGGTTAGAAATGATCCAGAAGAGCTAGTTCACAGAACTAGAGTACCTAAGCATCTTGATACTCCCTTGCACCCACCCATGTCTAGCTGCCACCAGATTCACACCCAGGTCTTTGACATTTAATCCGTCTGTTTAAGGTCTAGAGGCAGGAGATGTATTGAAGAATCTTGTAGCCTCAGGAAGCTGCTGGATATAGAGTCAGCTTTTTTTGCCCATGGCCACTGAGATCCATTAGATTGAATTACTGAGAAACTGGATTCTGTAGTGGGTTAGGAACTAAACATACTCAGGAGCCAATGTAGAGTAGTGATGCTAGAAACATGTTTTGAGACCCTCAGATTAAGGGGGTCAGTGAATTCTCCAGCCTTTAAGAGCCTTGGAATAGCAATGGCAGGTTTTTGATCATGATCTCTCTGCTTGACTCTATTTTCAGTGGCCTTTGAAGGGTGGGGTTGGCCATCAGGGACAAAGGAGCTCGGGGGGTGGCAATCAGTGGAACCATTCTGCCCAAAGCTTCTCAACCAGCATCAACCTGATGCTGACATGAAGAGAGAACCACGGCACTGATCCCTGTAGTTGGAGCCCAGTTCCTCCCACATGCCCAACTTTGTATAAAGACTGTTGAGTTTTCCTTCCCTGGGTTACTTAAGAGGAACAACCCTGTACAACCCTCTGGAGGAGAAAGCCTATTTGATCCAGGAGCTTGGGTCCTGTCAAGGACCAGAGTGAGTGGGCCTACCAGGGAGCCCATTATCAGCCTGTGTGGCCAGCTCCACATGAAAGAGTGGTGCCTTTAAGGCCTGGCTAGAGGATGTGCTGTGGAGCACGAAGTGCTGATGACTCAAGGCCAAGGGCTCAGGCACAGGAAGCACTGGGCCTTAAGCTCCTGGCAGCAGCTGCTAATTATCATCTTGCTGTGATTTCCACATGCCTAGAGCACCAGGTGGTACACGAAGCACCTCCCTTTTCTCTTCTCCCTCCCTCCCTTCCACAAGCTCCTGTAGGTGGAAGACACTTGTTTTCCAAGTTCCCAGAAGAGAGCTCTGTAAGCTTCCTCATATCGATATCTTCCTCATGTTGATTGAAAAGAGAAAAAAGGAATTGACCGTGACTGATGAGAAATTATAGTTTCCACCTTTCCCTCTCCACTGATTCCTCCACTGTGATTGCTTCCACCAACGGAAACATATTCCATATATTCTGTCTGGGCATCATGATGGTTAAGTGCAGTACATTCCATGTACTATAGGTGTGTAGAACCTAATAGACAAAGGTGTGAGAAAGAGAGATTTAGGCTGCAGAGAAAGTGACTACATACATCATCAGTCCACATGATGTGCCAGCAAAAAGGTCACTTGTGGTTTTGGCAAATGCACGTCCACTTAGCCCGTGGTCCACCTCTAGGATTTTCCCTTTCCTAGGGTGGGAGGTTTTCCTTGCCATGGCTGCTAGTGTTCCCATCTCTCTCCTTGAGCAGCGGCAGAATTAAAATGGCCTTAGATGCTTTCTCTTCTGCTCTCCTCACAGCACAACTGATGTCCATACGGTCGCTTCCCTATTGAAATTGTATCTGCGGGAGCTGCCTGAGCCTGTCATCCCCTTTGCCAAATATGAAGATTTCCTCTCCTGTGCTCAGCTGCTCTCCAAGGATGAGAGTGAGGTCAGTGGGCCTTTTTCTTGATATCTTGTTGGAAGTCCTTCCTGGCCAACAGCCTTGCTAAGGTAAGGAGCAATTGCCAAAGTCAACATGAGAAGCAGTAATTGGGGAAGGACTTAGGTTAGATATTTATAGGAACATAGGATCATCAGACCAGTGTAAGACCAGTAACATAAGCCCAGGATTAAAGAACTGGGGGGGGGGGGGGAACAGCTTAAAGAGCTAGGCTTTGGAAATGGTCTTAGTTTAAGCATCTCTAACTCTTGGAGATACTTGAAGAAAAGGCTAGTTACCTAGCAGTCTGGTCCTATTTCAGAGAGTCAGCCAGCATTCATTAAGTACCTACTGTGTGCCTAGGTATCGTGCTAGGTGCTGTGGATACAGAGATAAAAATGAGATGGTGTCTGTCCTCAGGGATCTTAGAGTTTGTTAGACAAGACAACATTTATATAAATAAGTCTATTCAAAGTATAAAGACAAGGATTGGTTTTTGGTTTTGCTTTGTTGTCATGGTGGTGGCAGCTCTACGCATGTGTCATTGTCCAGGGAAGGTTTCATGCAGTATCATAATTGGAGTTTTGAAGGAAACAAAAGCTCCTAAGTGGTAAAAGTGAAGGCACTTCAGGCTTGGGGGACAGACAGTACAAAGGTTCAGAGGTGAGAGATGATGGAACATCATGTACAAGGACCAGTAAGGTCAGTTTGACTGGACTAGAGAATGTAGAAAGAGTGTTTCATAATGAGATCGGGAAGGTAGTTTGGGGCTAGGTTGCAAAGGGTTTTAATAGTTAATTAGAGAACCTTATAAGATCCTAGAGGCCACAGGAAGCCATTGGAGCTTATGGAGTAGGGAAGTGGTGTTATACTTTAGGAAAATTACATTTCTAGCTGTGTGGAAAGCAGATTGGAGAGGGGGGAAATGTGAAGCATGGCGACTAATTGGGTTATTGCAGTAAACCAGGCAAGAGGTGATGAGGGCTTGAAATAGGGTACTGGCCGTGTGATTAGAGGGAATAATGGTTGCAAGAAAGCTTGTGGAAATAGAAAAGGTAAGATTTAGAAATTGATTGGATAGGTGGGTGAAGGAGAGGGAACCATCAAGGGTATATCCAAGGTTGTGAATGATAGCAACTGTCAGGTGGTTCCCTGGACAAATAAAAGTAAGTTCAGAAGTGAGGTGGATTTGGAGAGAGTTCATGAGTTTTGAACATGAAGAGCTTGAAATGCCCATGGGTCATGCTATTTAAAATAACAAAAATAAGTAAATAAAATAATCAAAAAGCAGGTGGAGTTGCACAGCTAGAGCTTAAGAGAGAGGCTAGGGCTGGATTAGTCAAAGGAATTGGGCATGTTTATCCCGAAGAAGAGAAGACTCATGGTGCACAGTTGGGGAGGGGGAAGATATGATTGCTAATTTAAATACTTAAAGGGGCTAGTGTATGGAGGGAGGGAATATACTTGTTTTATGTGGCTCCAGAGGGCAGAGCCAGGACTTTCAGAGAGGTGGATTTAAGCTAGATAGAAGGCAGAACTTCCTGACCATAAGAACTGTCCAAAAATTGAATAGGGTACCACAAGAAATAGTGGATTTGTCTTCCTTAGAGACTGGATGATCACTAGCTGGGGTATGCTATAATAAGGATTCATTTTGTGTATGGGTAGGACTTCATGGTCCCTTTCCAACTCTTACATTGCAGGATTAGAAGACATAGATTTGAAAGTCATCTACATAAGGATAATAATTAAACCCATGGAAAGGGATGAAGTAAATGACTAAGTGAGAGATTGTAGAGAAAGAATAAAGTAGTACCCAGGTTAGCCTTGATGAACCAGCAGAGGAGACTGAGAAGGAGTGGTCTTACAAGTAGGAGAAAAACCAAGAGAGAACATTGCCACAAAACCCAGAGGAGAAAGTATCCAGGAGAGAAAAGATGACTAATCATGACAAATGCAACAGATAGGTTGGGAAGAATGGGGATTAAGAGAAGGCCATCAGCTATGGCAATTAAGAAATCCTTAGTAACTTTAAAGATGGCAGTTTCATCTAAGGTGGAGGGACAGATTCGCAAAAGATAGAGAAGTAGGTGAGGGGAGAGAAGTGGAGGCAGCAGGGATGGAGAGCTTTTTCCTGAGGGGCTTTGTGACAGGGCTGTGGATAACAAGTTGGTTTTTCTAAGTTGGTTTTCTGGCAGCTAGGGAAAATGGTGGGTCCTTGAGAAGTCAGGACTCTGAAGAGAGAGCCCAAGATGGGAAGCTACTATAAGCTTTCCTTAGAAATGAGGAAGACAGGAAGCTCCAGGTTGGGCTCCCAGTCTGTAAACTGACAACAAATGAAGAAAGCAGACCAACAAGAAGAGAGACCATCTCTCCTGAAGACAGGATGAATTAATCGACCACTCAGCCCCATTAGTTTTGTGACTTCCTTCCTTTCAAACCTACCCAAATAAAGGTTACTCCATGCTTCATAACAGAAAGGAATGAGTCCAGCAGGGGTGTTTCTCGGGCCCAGTACAACTACAGACATTTAGCAAGCCCTTACTGTTTACTGAATGTGAGACAATGGTTCTTTGTTTTCTATTTTTTCCCTTTGTTGCCAAGATCAGTGACCCTAGGCTATTTGGAGATGTGGAAGGAAGCAGGAGACATCTAAGTTTTCAAAATTCAAATGTACAAATAAGTCCTCAGCCTTGCATCTGACTTTTGTTTTTTGAAAGAGTACAGGGGTCCTTTCAGCCCCAATACATTCAGACAACAAACATGATTACCTCCTGATTTTCAGGGACAAAGTCTTACTATTTTCTTCAGAAAGATGAATGTCTTAGGAGCATTGTGCACCTGGCTGGATTAAAAGTGTCCTTCAACTGGAGTTGGGGTGGGGAAGTTGAAAGGGAGGCAGAAGAAATTCATATTTGTCAAATAATTGCACTCTGATAAAAATATTCTTCGAGTAGCACTGGGGTTCTTCCATAACATTCTTCCCTCTACTTTGCAAGCTTCCTAGAAATGCAGTCTTCTTTTTTTTAAGAGTCATTGCTGTTGGGCTTCTGTGATTCTTTTAAAGTTTAATGGATTCCTCCTTTTTCACACTACAGTCATTTCTATATATACCCTAACCTCTCCCGTACACATATATACCCAGAATCCTCCCTTTTAGCAAAGAATGCAGTTAAGCAAAATCCACTGAATCTAGCAGAATATATGAACAGTTCACTACCTGTGGTCCCCCATCTCCACGCAGAGGAGAGAAATGTGTTCCATCATGTGTTCTCCAGGGTCACGATTGGTGGGCTTTCTTCTGACCCCCAAATGGGGTCATGAAGAGTTGGACACAAATGAAAATGACTGAACAATTCTGAGTCCAGAGTGGTGTTTTCATTTACAACTATTGGGACCATCATCTTTGCGGTTCTTCTGGCTTTGCTTCCTGCATTCTGCATCAGTTCATTGGAGTAGGAGCCCAGTTCAAAGCATGCCTATCTCCTTCACTCCTGGGGAAAGCTCAGTGTAGCTCCCTACTCCCAAGCTTCTCTTCAGAGCTGCTGATTCCATGAAGACCCAGACTTTCCCTAGGCAAGAACTGGAGAGAAAAACAAATTTATTATCCAGAGTTCTGACAAAAAAAAATCTCCTTTCTCAGTGCTTGGAGCCTCAGTTTCCCCACTTCTGATGGGGGAAAAGAATTGAAACTTTCAACCTTCTAAGAGATACTGTGTTGGTTTCATCTCAGCCTGAGAAAGGTATAGCATACATTCAAAGTGAAATCATTATTTTCTTTAAATAACGTGTGGTGTTTTTTTGTTTCTTCCTTATTTGGATTCTAAGGGCACTCTGGAGTTGGCTAAGCAGGTGAAAAATCTTCCTCAGGCAAATTATAACCTTCTCAAGTACATATGCAAGTAAGTAGCATTGGGCGTGGGTTGGTGAGAGGGTAGTACATTGCTTTGGTTAGTTGTACTGAGAGGTTGATTCTCCTGTGCTGAAGCAGAAAGCCAGTGGACCCAAACAATAGACTTGACATTTCTCTCTCATCCCAGTGCCCCATGAAGCCATCTTACTGAGCTGTAGCAGTTTTTGTTCCTGTCATCCAGCCTCTCTTTCCACCTTTAGACTCTTGGGTTCTGTCCTAGACTTCATGCAGGACGTAACTATCTTCTCTAAGCAGGGCAGGGCTATTTGATTAAAGCTTGGAGGACATGGAGAGTAGGTGAAGAGCTTGGAAAATCACCTCTGTCTTGAATGTGAAACTTTTAGAGTCATAACTAGGACAGGGAGGCAGGCCTTTGCAAGTCCCTTTTCATTCTATTCTGGTTTGCACCTACCCCAGACTGCCCTTTCCTAGTCCTGCCATTGGGGAATATGAAAGGTGGTATTACCAATGATAAGCCCCTGTGATTAATAATTTCATGTTGGCCAATAGATCAATATGTAAATTTACTTTTTTTTTTTTGCATGAGACAAGTTAATTGGCCAGTTGTGGGTTTTCCCCTCCAGCAGTAATGGCTATAGGTGTGGGAATGGGGGTAGGGAGATAGATAATTATTGGATGAGGGGCAAGGGGAAAGGGAAGTAACCTAGTAAATCTGGAACCAATATTCTCTTCCTTTGTTTCTTGGACTTTTTAAGGTTTTTGGATGAAGTTCAGGCTCACTCGAATATAAACAAGATGAGTGTCCAGAACCTTGCTACCGTGTTTGGGCCAAATATCTTACGTCCCAAAAAAGAAGATCCAGTGACAATCATGGAAGGTACCAGAGGGTTTTGTTGGGCAGTAGAAACTGAAAGCAAGTTGACATGGGTCATGCTCTGGAAGGCAAGTCAAAATATCTGGACAGAAGCCCACTTGATAAAACCACCACAGAAGTTAGGTTTTGACAAAGTTAGTTCCCTCTCCCTGTCTCTTTTTAGCCTTTAAATGGATGTCTTCAGGGTTTGTTGATATAAATATTATGGTGGCTGGGATTGAAGATAGTTATAAAAATAATAATTTTCTCATACGTTAGCAATCAGTAATTATGTAGTAAATGGCCAGTAATTCATGAAACCATGATTAAGGAACAGTAATTATAATGAAAGACTCAACTCTATTTTTTAAAAAATGTGGTCTTCAGCCTCTTGCATCTCCTGTGTAGTGGAACTTTTCTGAATCTAGTAAGGCACATATCATTTCTGGGCCTCAGTGGACTGGACTCATCACAGGTACGTCCTGATGCATTTGTTGACTTTTGGGAACCAGAGATTTTATAGGATTGTGGATTAAGAGTGGAAGGGACCTTAGATTAGAAATCATCTAGTCTGGATCCCTCATTTTTACAGATGGAGCAACTGAGGCCCAGAAAGAGGAAAGGACTTGCTCAAGGTCATACACGTAGCATGTGGCATGGTTAGAATTCAAATTGAGTTTCTTTGCCTCCAAAAAATAGCTCTTTTCAGTGTATTACCCTCCTTGATTTGCCTTTGTTTCATGAGAGCCGCTTTCTTAATCTGTAAAATAAGGATGATCCCTGTGTGCCTATATCACATGATTATAGTAAGGATCAAATGAGGTAATGGATGTAAAATGCTTGAAAACCTTAAATTTTATATGTGTGTATACATACATACATATACATACATGTATGCATGTATACACACATGTATGTGTATATACATACATGTGTATAGAGATATAGATGGATAGCTAGATAGGTAGATAGATAGTTGCTGAAGCTAAGTGAATTAATACCTTTGGAAACAGTCTAGCTTTTAATGAATTGACGAGCAATGGAACAGTAACGAGCTCACCTTGAAACTTTACTGAGGTCAGCAATAACTTAGATACTGAATTGAGTATCATTAATCCGGATTTCATGACCACATGCCTTAGGCTAATAAAATCTGGCCAGAATGCCCCAGAATATCAAGAATAATATGAATGGACCTACTTAGTCTGAAACTTCAGTGGATCACTGGGGGCTTTGTATTTACTGATGCAAGATTTCTCATCCCAAGTGACTAGTCCATATCCTTCTAGAAGGTTCTCCATGAAGGATCCACTTAATTTGTTGGAGAACTTCTAGGTCTTTCAAAATTTTGTGCATATCAATGTAACACTTGGGGTTGCTAAAAGAGCTACAGAGTACCCTAAGGAAATGTGGTCATTGTTCCTTAATCAATAGCTGTAGGAACAGCCAACCTCAACTACCACCTCTTCTACCACACACATAAAGCCCCTTTCTTCTGCAGCAGGCAGAGGCCTCACAAGCTTTTAGAACACCCACTTTTTTATGAATCAGCAGCTCGCTTGGACACTTTCCCATTGGAGCTTGGAGTGGAAGAACAGGGGCTGCCACCTGCCATTCTCTGACTCAGCCTCCATTTCTACTACGACATTTCCTTGTATGTTATTTCTTACACATGGTATCATTGGTGGAAGCTTTCTGCCAGCATATATCCACTATGCACTGTATGAAATAGATGGACCCTTTAATACCAAAGAAGAGCTTTTTTGAAATGGCTTCGGGATTGTTAGGGGATAGATATGGGACATATGATTTTATTCATATAAAGAACTCCTGGAGGAAGAAACTCCCCTACTAATGTAAGGTAGCACCTTCTCTGTAACTCATGGTAAGAGACTTGCCTAAAATACTGAGGTTGAGTGATTCACACAAGAGTTGCAAAGTGTGTCCAAGGAGAGACCTGAAACCAAGTCTTCCTGGCACCACGGTCAGCTCTTGATCTGCTCTGCTGTGGCGCCTCTCTTCAGGATTGTTCTTTGTCATAAATCAGTGTTGCTCACACTTCTCTAGATATTTGAACATTTACAGTCAGCTTTGGTTCTGCATTGTAGCAGCCACAAAACTGAAGTCTAACCGCCACATTTCTCTGAGCCCTTTCCCCAGGATTTCCAACTGTACAGTGCGTCTGGTCTCCCCAGAATGTCCAAGGCTATGCCAAGACCAGAACTCTCAAGTTCTCGTGGTAAGACTAGGCTGAACGTGATTGTATTTTGGATAATTTGTCAGGACAGGTTGTTGAGAGGCATGTCATCTATGTGTGATAATAATGAGACAGCTAGGCGTCATAATGGATAGCTATCTGGACCTGGAGCCTTCCCTTGCCCCATCTCCCTGACTCTTCTGTGTTGCCTTACCCCATTAGATTATAAGCTCCCCGAGGGCAGAGACTGCCTTTCTGTTTGCATTTTTATTTATTTAGCACAGTGCTTGGTACCTAGTGGTTAACAAATGCTTCTGAGTTGACTTGGGTCCAGGAAGATCGAATACTGCTTCAGACACGAGCAACATGACCCTGGGCAAGTCATTTAACTTCTATAATAATGTCATTTAGCCTCCTGGAGTTGCTGTAGGGATCACATATGTGTAAATTATATGTGTGTAGATAGATAAATATGTACGTATGTATAGATAGATACGCATGTATGTGTATCTGTATGTGTATAAAATCTATGTATGTATATATACACACATTTATGTACATCTATAGATACACATATATGTATCTGTATGTGTATATAACTATATGTATATAAATCTATGTATGTATATATACACACATTTATGCACATCTATAGATACACATATATGTGTATCTGTATGTGTATATAAATTTATGTATGCATATATACACACACATTTATATACATCTTTATATACATATATATATAAAGTTTTTATATGTATGCACTTTGCAAATTTTAAAGTGCTATATGTGTTAGTTATTGTTATTGTTGTTAGCTGTATTTCCCAATCATCCAGAACCTAGCATAGTACATGTTGTACATAATAGTTGCTCAGTAAATATTTGATGATGAAGCCCCAGTTTAATTCTAAATTGTAAGTTTCCTGAGGGCAAATGTTGTACCTGATGAGCTTATTTTGTGCATCATCTAGGTTGGAGCCAAAGCATGTAGCCACTTAGTACTATTTTATCATGATGGTGATACAGTGATAGTGAAGTTTGATCATTGACTACAGACAGATGGGACTAACTTAGTCCATCACATCACCCCTTCTCTATTGTCCTGGAGGCAGCTAGGTAGAGACCTGGGCTTGGAGTCAGGAAGACCTGAGTTCAAATCCGGCCTCAGACACTTACTAGCTATGTGACCTTGGGCAAGTCACTGTGCCTGCCTCAGTCTCCTCAACTGTAAAATAGGGATAATAACAGCACTTACCCCACAGGCTTGTTGTGAGGATCAAATGAGATGGTATTTGCTAAGCATTTATCATGATCCCTGACACATAGTGTGCACTATGTAAATGCTTATTCCTTTCTCATTCCCTTCCCTTTTTGAAAAAAAAAGGTGAAATTCCACCATTGTTTTCCAGTTGCAAGTGGAATGTTTCTACTTCAAATAGCTCCAGTGGAAAAGTACATAAACAATTTGTTGACTGCAAAAAAGTGGGTGTTTTTAAAGCTTGTGGGGCCTCTGCCTGCTGCAGAAGAAAGGGGCTTTATGTGTGGCTGTTCCTACAGCTGTTGATTAAGAAACAATGACATTTCCCTCAGATACTTCATGTCTCTTTTAAAAAACCTAAAATTATTAGTTTGTCATTCCTGATTTATCCTCTACCT